ATATATATAAAGAAGTTATAATCATGCATTACTGATGAAGTGCATCATACTTTTCCTGAAGCCGAATTTGGAAGATAGTCTCTCTCCTATTTGCCCGATTGGAAAGCGGTAGGGCTTGATGAAGTTTATAACTTCTTTACTGAGAAGTGCACCTCCTTGCATCCAGACCTGTACAAAATAGCAAGAAGGATTTGTCTGGATGGGAAAACAGGATCCGTGGTTCTATAAAGACTACCTATCTGATTTGGTTGCATTGAAAAGTAATGGAAAAACTATAGTGGAGAAGAAAATAGAACGAAGAATTCTCCAAGGTGATAGTCTTTCTCCGCTGCTGTTCGTCTTGCATGGACCCGTTGAGCCGTCGGCTTAATATAAGATACCTAAAGGTTGCGGTTCTAACTGATCAAAGCACTCACATTATGAATCATCTATTATTCGTGGATGATCTAAGATCTTCGCGACCGATAACACCGAGGTATGCGCTTATAAAGCGCCGTTATTGGAAGGAACTCAAGGGTACAAATATTTTGGAATAGTGGAAAACATGACTAGTGTACCTACTCGTGAAAGCTACGATAAAGTCCGTGCAGAGATTTTAATGAGAATTAAGCGGTTAGCCAAAACTGCACTAAATGGCATGAACTTTATCAAGGCTGTGAATGAGCACGCCATAGCCTAATGAATTATTACGTCGAGGTGCCTCAAGCGGGAGCCGGAAGACTTCAAGGCTATAGACCAGGATATCAGACAGTTACTAATCAAATACGGAATTCACAAGCAACCTGAATGTTTGGAAAGACTGCACCTGCCAAGGGACGAGCTTGGACGTGGACTTCATAATGTTGAGCAGAAGAGTGAGCTTAGGTTTCTGCAATTATATAATGTTCTTGTAGATAACGCACTCATTTGTACCAGATGGGCAGCGATTCTTAAGCAGAAGAAAGCTCATAACACATACTTGGCAATTAATTGTACCGTATCTAAAGACTAAGTACAACCTCGCAGAAAATCCTGCCGTTGAAAACGTATTAGCAGTTCAGAAGGCGTTCTTGTACAGCGAAATAGAAAAGAAAACTCATCATGCAAAGCTATAAAACATGCGGATTAATAAAATCTCGTTCATAGTTGATTGATCAAAATGGCCACGATACGGAAACATTACCCCGCAAGATGAGGTACGATACTGTTATCTCCAAGATAGAAATATATTTGGAGGTAAGAAAGGTATGTGCCAATATTGTGGGGAACGTGTGAAGACGGTGGACCATCTAGCAATGTAGTGCGAAAAATGTTACATCACGTTACATATAAAATGTTACATATAGTGAAATACTAGAAGACACAATGAGGTCCTACGATGCATCCATTTGAGACTCTGCAAGAAAAATGGCCTAAAGCCATCCTCACGCATACGAAGCCATTTCTTTTCAGGATGTCGTCGCTAATGAAAACGTTAAGATCAGAGTCGATACGCGAGTGAGAACTACAATTAGAATTGAAGCGGATCGACCGAATATCATGATATACGATAAGAAGCGACGTAATGTAATCCTGATTGAGGTTGGCATCACTAGTAAGGACAGGTTAACAGAAGTCGAAACCGAGAAAAAGAGAAATCATGACCTACTTGCTAATAAGGTTGGGTCAGAGATGAAATGCAGGACCAGAATAATTCCGTATGCCATGACCTGAAATGAGATTGTAACGAATTTCCACAAATGCTACGCGGAGGAGATTAGTATATCTGACCACGTCGAGGCATACGTTCAGTCGATAGTTCTCAAGAAGACGCTCGAGAGCATCTCCTTTGACAGTCGATGTGGATTCCACGAGGACGAAGCAGCGGAGATCAGCAGAGCAGAACTGAGCGTGGGGCTCGTGCAGCGAGAATTTCAGAATACGATCCAGCGCCAGAATCAATAATGAAAAAAAGAAGAATAACCTCAGTTTGATATTGATTGATTATATATATACATTATATGTGAAGTAAATATAATGTGGAGTTAGTTTTAATTCTCGCTCTTCATTGGTTCTGGCGCTGAATCGCATTTCGGCAGCACACTGGCAGTATTTGTCTCGCGCTCAGATTTGTTGTACTCATCGTTCCGCTTCGTCCTCGTGGAGTCCATATCGACTGTCGAATGAGATTTTAAGTGTTTTGTTATCATAATTTACTAATGTAATCAAGTTAGTTTTAAGGTTTTTTAAATAAATGAAAAATGATTCGAACGAAAAAATTTTATTCTCACCAGCACCAATCGGTTTAGTTATAAAAATCCGTGAAAAAAGTAAGTCTGTGAAAAAATTGAAAGTTTGGAAATTAGAAATGGAAAAATTATGGTTAGCCTGTATAAAGGGGACAAAAGCGAGTTGAAACAAAACATTAGATCATGTTTTGGGACTGAAACTTTTTGCTATTTGCGATGTTTAAATTTGGAAATAAAAAATGAGAGTTAATTATATTTATTAGAGGTAATTTTACATCGTATTCAATATTATAATCTTGTCTTTATCTCGTCTGTTTCAAATCAAATTTATGTGTTAAATAGCACTTTGAAATGACTGACTGTACTTCTAATGAGCATAATTGAAAATTTTAACATAATTAAAAATCTAAATTTCATGCAATTTACTAATTCATTATGACTTATTCGTATTGAGTTTTTCATCATGTACTGAAAAATCCGTCATTAAATTGATAAATGTGATTGCTATGGGTGTATCGTCATATTCTTTTCAGACAATGTCTTTCACATAGCAGAAGAGGAAAAGTCTTAAATTTGTTGAGAAATGCTTGAAATAATTTGAATTTTGCATAATGAGAGTGTGCTAAGGAGAGAAGCAGTGAAGAAGATGAGGAAACAAGAATATGACGATAAAGTAGCTAATTGAAAAAATAACTTAGTGAACAGTGAAATGATGATGTATATAGTGCAAAATATTAAATAAAGGAATGCAATTTTATTTTCAAAATTAATACTTGTGACTATCTCTCTTCGTCTGGCCAGCTGACCAGCATTTCGTTCCGGTACACTAGCAGATCGTTCTCCCATATCCTACACAGAGCTTTTCACAACATCATCCGTTTTCCTATTGTTTTTCTATTATGATTCCATATGCCGTTTTTCTCCGGTCGTCCTCCATTTCCTTGTCAGGCTTTTCAAATTCTGATTGCAGATCAACATAAAATTCTATTTGGAGTCCCCAATTTTTTCAGCAGTAGTCTTTTCTTTCTCTGTGGTACCATTCTTTATCTTTTTCCCTTGTTTCATTTTCGTTCCTTCAGAAGTACTACACAATGGGTTGCATAAGCTTACCATTTATCGTGCATGAGTTTTTTTCGCTTATTGGAATCGCCTGTAACTTCCATGGTAGCATCATAACGTCTCCACAACTGATAAAAGTAAAACAAGTATGTGAATAGAAATCAGAAATAGCGAAGAAATAATGTGTGGCGTCCAAGATCACGTAAAGTCTATCTCTATGATTACTCAAACTAAGGTAATTTATCCATATATTTTTATTTATTTATCTCTTTGCTTATAAACATGCTACGTCAATTTGTTGACTATGTCACCTTAATTGAGTTTTTCGAAACCACAAGATTTTCAACATTTCCAAATTTTTTTCAGAAAACGAACGTTTCCGTCAGTCAGAACGAGCATTTACAAAAGAACGTCTTCAATATCAAAATCCTTTCTGCTTGGTCATGCAAAAATTAACTCTACTTGAGAATTCCATCGAATACTTTGTCATTTGACATCGCTAAATTCAGGGCTCTTAAATTATTAAATGGCGCTGAATTGAATCACTTTTTAAACGATGCAATTATTTCTTCAACTTTTTTTAGCAAATATGTTAAGATTTAAACTTTTTTCTGGAATGTTGAATTATTTCGTCAGAAATTCGTGAAAACATATAAAGAGAGATGAAGAATGAAGAGAACAAAAATGTAGTAAAAATATAATATTTTCAAATAAATGCTTTACTTCTAATAACTTGAAAAAATTTGTTCTTTAATCTCCAATAGAAATACTACAAATAATTATCAAGGTTGAAAAAGATAAAATAAACAACTTCCGAATTTTGCTGCAAAAATTTTTAATTTAGAATGCACAGCGATAGTATTTTATTCTAAAACTTTAATATGTGCTTTAGAACTGACTTATATTTGGATTGTATCAAACTAAATTTTATCCAAATTTTCAAACTTATCATTTACATAGTTATAGTGTTTTAAATGTTGATTTTTTTCATTTTTATGATTTTTCTGCAAAAACTATGCAAATAGATTACATTTCTAAGCAGTAGCAGACCACTATTTAATTTGAGACACATAATTCTTTAGAAAATTTGTAATCAGTTTAATATTTTTTTCATCTTCGCATGTGTTTTATTAACGTTAGGGTTGCTGAAATGTTCATGATTTTTTTTCTGTGGCTGAAATGTATTGCAATGAGTAATACAAAAATTTGAAAAGTAAAGTTTGAGATAAGTTAAGTTTGGAATTTGAGAGAGTTCCATTACTCTGATATTTGAAATATCCTTGTTTTGCTGTTTGAGACATTTATCGCTTCAATGAAGCAGTAGCTCATGATAGAAGTTAGATAACAAATATCAGTGAATTTTTATTTTAGAATCCCAGCAACTTTTTCGAATAACAATAAATATGTTTTTAGCTGGATCATTTATGAAGAATGTTTGATGATTCACTTCACGAAAGCAATTATTTAATCGTTTTCAAGCAGTAGTTTTCATTTTTTATGACTGTTTCTAATTTCTTTTATTTCAGGAAGCAGCAATTTTCAATAATTGATTGGTCGTCGACAGGCTATGTAGAGAGGGGAAAATTAAACTGAATGCAATCATATCTTAAATATAGACCTTTTCTGTTTACTGTAACATTTGTTGCTAGATTTTAAGTTGTTCTGTGAAGCAAGACGTCTTGCATTACTTTGTTCAATATATTTTGTTTGTTTTACAGACATTGTAGCGGATGATTTGGTTTTTGCAATATATTATTATAATCATTCTTTGTAAAGAAGTGACCACAAAATGATTTCGAATTTCAAAGTGATCACTTGCAAGTAGCAAATAAATTGAAACAAAGATTACCTCTGTGAATCTGCACGATTGTTTATATTTTGAAAATTCAATCATTGAGAAAGATTTTGTTAATTGCATCACATAACAAATTTTTAGGTGATAGATTTATCGTGGTACTAAATAATGTTTATAAATTGCAGTTGATTTTTTAAATTCCGATGAATTGCTATTGAAAATAACACAGTTTTTGTGTCTTGCAACAAGGAGTTTACACAAATTATGAAATGCAAACAATAATGCATGAACGCTATTTTCAACGCATATACACTTTATTATTCAATACTTTTTTGTTTAATAGGTTAAGCAGTAATTTTTATTTTTTGAACCTGAAAGAAAAAAATTAATTACTTCTTAAATGAAAATGGTATAACAAAAACTTCTCTACATTAAATTCCAGAACATTTCTGTTTAAAGTGAAGTAGTGGATTATGTTTTTATTTAAACACAAAACAGTACCACCTAAAAATACATTCATAGTAAGTCAGTGATATGAAAATTGGAGCTTTCGAAAAATTTTCATTCAAACTATAATTCTGTTATTTTCAAGTTCATTAAACGATTTTCTATGAGACAGATTCCAGCATTTGCTGCCCAATTTTTTATACAGTTGGACATTTGTTCCTATTCTTTCACTTTCCACATCTAAAATTTTATCTGTAAACCATGCATATTATCTACTAAAGAAGCTCTATTTCATCCATAAATTTTAATTTTTTTTTCAAACTTTTGCAAGTGAGGAGATTATTTACTGTAATCGACCAGTATCATTTTATGTTGAGAAGACAATTTAGTAATGTTTCCTTGCATATTTTATTCTAGTTTTGCTAAATTAATTTATGCTTTATATTTGATTTCGAAAACACGACTTCCATTTTCAGAAAAAAAAATACTTGCTTAAAATCAAATTTTGATATATTTGAAAAAGTAAGTTGTTAAAATAAAACTGATTTTTTATATCAAATATCAATCAAGGTATTGCTGATTATTTGAAGTGAATTGCTTAAAATTATTACCAATACAGTAGAATACTAAAATTATGTTAGTAAATAATGACTTTCTCTGATTGTCAATATGCAAGTTTTAAATTTCGAATTCTTTTTAAAATAACCTATATTCCTTGCAACACAGAATTGAAAATAACAGAAAGCCAATTATTGATCGATCAGCAATAGTAATGAACGTGACTTCAAGAGAAGCAAATCATTCTATCTTTTATACACTATTTTCAATACTGCTATTCTTCTCGTTTCGTTTTACAGTTCCTGAATTTAAAATATCAGTTTCGCTTCACTATTATGGAATGAAACTGATTTATAAGTGATTGTTTTCTAGAAATAATGCTACTCTTGAAGAATTTTTTGAGATGATCTATTACAATCGATTGTGTGACAGCTGCAGTAAGGCACTAAACAAAGATCATTAATCAGAATGATGTGATGTCTGAAATTGCCTTTCGTTAGTTTTTTTGTGGATACCATTGTCATATTTCATCAATTAAATCGCTTGCTTAATTAAAAACTTCCGGCCAAAAAACTTCCTGTTTTATTTTCTTACCTCTACTTCACTTTCCCACCTGAATCTCCGTAACTGGAACTTTCTTCAAAGTTGATACTTTAAATAGTAATTTTGTTATATGTTTTGTTCACATTTAAAATCAGAAAAAATGTGCGATATATGAAAACTTGTCAACGAAGAGTATGTAGATGTGAAGCTAGACTATCTTCAGATTCCAAGTGTAAATACTTAAATAGCTTGTTCTCATATTTCGCCAAACAGATGCACAATCTTGATACTTGATCTTCATGCTCTAAACAGCAATTTACTGATCAAATTGTGCCCTCTACAATCACTTTACGAAAAAAAATGTAGAAGCAATTTTATTTGATCGTATTATAGTTTTGTGGGAAGTACAAAAGAGAGAGAACACAAACCATTTCAATACTCATTCACTTAGACGCAAAGTTTGTTCTTTATCACTAGATGGAGTCAAGCTAGAGTCTAGTAAGATTGTGTCTTCACAACAAGAATAGATCAGTGTCTTCACAACAAGAATAGATCGGTGTGAATGGCATTTGCAAAACATAGCAAGCAGCAACTTACATTTTCCTTGTATGCCAAAGATTTCCATCAAATGGAAAATTTTTGGTGTGGAAATTAAGCGGCGAAACAAATTCACAATGACTGGTAATTTCTTGCCTAATTTCATTTATTAATTTCGTAATGCATTGTAATAACAACTTTTTGTTATGAAAAGCAAAAAATGACGTATGTAAAGCACAGTGAGTAAGGGTCAGAACAGACAAATGACAGATTTGAAAATAGTGTCTGAAGATTGCTTTTAGACAATTTTTGAGCACAATTTTCGCATCTCTTCTTCAGCAAAGTGTTTGTACTTACCATTTTTTGTTTTCGTTTTTTTCTGTTCAACTTCTCAACAAGCCACCATCCACCTGTTGAAGGTTATGTTTGATGTTCTACGAGCATTATTTGGAGCATTTGCTATATTGCACTTACCTCATTTAATCAGTTCGCAAGAAGTTCTCCATTCTTATCAATTTTTTATCATTCTCCACTTGCTATTTCATTGACATTGCCAGTAACACTTATTGGAGCCAGATAACTAAGATTTTATCACTCTTTGTTCCTATCAAATGTGAGCAATGACTGCATTGATAAAAATTTCAAAGTTTAGTATGTTTATATTCATATTGACAGTTTTTTCCAAACCACACTTACCTGTGGAAATTTTCATATTTCATAACATTTACATTCTTACTTTTTACTTTTTTTGAGTGAGAATGACTTGAAGTTCAATTTTTCAATTTCTATACAAACCATTCTTAGTGATTCGGAATACAGTATATGTGATAAGCAAGGTGCATTCAAATTTGTTTGTAAATCAATATTAAGAAACTAAAAACATGATTCTTAAATCGCATAAAAACTGTAATTAACCTAGCCAAATTCAATTTTGATCTGTTCTGTGGGGAATATAAATAGTTACAGAAGTAATGCTTTTCATTTCTTTTTGTGATTGGAATACAAATTAATGTCTTTTAAGTTAATTTTGTTAAAACCGGTGAATACTCTACTGCTGCAGGCAAACTTCAGTACTTTCCTTATCTTTTTCATGTTGATCGTGTAAACTTTGATTGCAAACATTAACCACTAACCCAAATGCTTTCATTTTCAAAATTTCTGTACAACGAAATAAGAGCATTGCATTGCACACATTATATCTGATACGAAGTGATATATGCAAAAAGTCTGGACAGTTAGATCATGTAAAGAATATGAAAAAGTAAAGTTTTTGAATTCACAGACTTTTGATGTGAGTTGGTAGTTTCAGCCATAACTGTACGTGTTACTGATTTGTGTTTTCTAAACTGGAACTTTGTTTACAACTTGTGGAAGCATAGCATAACTAACATTAATAGCAATTACAAATAATACATTTACTTGCTAGTTAGATAACTGTCCTCTTTGCACTGGTAAACAGCAAGCAGATGTTTGCACCAGTGATTGCAAGCTCGTTATTTCATTTTTTATTTGCATTCATTATTACACCATAAATGCATTGTTCAAAAATGCAAATAAAACATTTTTGAGTAAGCATCCATTATTCCTTGAGTTTTGATTCCTGTATTTTTCTGTTGATGATTAGTCGATTAATTAAAAGTAAACTGTTTGCAATTTTTGAGTTTTTTTTAAGACGTATTAGCAAAATAGAAAAGGGTATACTATATGCATCTTTAAGTAGCACTAAGCGCAGCATTTACTAATAAATAAATGAAGAAATCCAACTTAATTAAAAAGTTAAAAAAGAGATGCCAGCAATGGGATTCAGAAGTGGAAAATGTGCAGTTCCATGATGATATTAACGATACCAGAGGTCACAATAAGGCTTCACTAAATGTTTGAGATAGCTCAAATATATATGTTCGCTAGCTTCTATTTTCTTTTTTCAAAACAAAGCTTTCTTATGATAGTATCGAAATGTACATTCCAAGTAGATTCATCAAGAAAGATTTTTGTTTTTCAGAAAAAAATATCTGACGTGATGGATTCACCTTTGGAAAAAGCCCGCAGAATATTTCATATTGACAATCGCACTGTTGCAAATGTCATGTCTGAATTTTACTCTACCTTACTACTACTGGTAACTTTCATCTTTTCTCTTATTATTTTTTATCCTTAAATTTAGAAATCTAACGGATCTATTGCTTATGGAAAGGAATGTTGTTTTAAATCTCAAAGAAATCTTGTTTTTCTTCAAACCTTCTCAAAAAAACTGTCTGCGATAGCCTGTTTTCTTCCCTGACATAGCAAACAGTTGTTGAAATTCTGTTGAGCTTTGTGATAACAAATCGTGATGAGAGACGAAAGTGAGAAACTTAGGCAATTAGAAAGCTTCGCATGCTTCTCGTTTCAAAAACAAAGTTTGTTTGTTTGTTTTGTAACATGTTATAGTTCTAATTCCAAAAAAACATGGCTGCACACAAACATGGCAGACAGAACAGAGCGATTTTAATTTTAGAAAACATTCAGAATTAATTTTCACAGGGCTTTAAAGTCGACGATTATCTTTGGAATCTCAAAATCGTCTAAAGATAAGTATAAGAAATGCAAAAATAAAAGCACTCATTTGCTCTTTTTGTCTTCTATATCAGCAGTTGCTTTGACATCACAAAGTTGCAATTATATCCGTGACTGTATGACGCAGGGATCTGGAAATTGCTATCAACTGAAATCATTTCATTCATACAAATATTTAAAATATTTTCATAAATTATGCTTAAAAGATGTTTACGTGAGTTTGTAGTGCAAAAATTTTAATTTCGAAAAATTATAGTGAATAAAAATAAGTCAATTTGTGCCAGAATTGAAAGTTTAAATTCAGTTCATTGGTATTGGCATAGTTCATCAGTTTGACCTGTCATACAAACAACTGAATACTTGGATGCAAATCAATATTGGATGGGGTTTAGCGATTATGTTTTGCGTCTACACCTGTTCCAAAACCTCTGGTACGATTTACTGGAATAACAGATTGCATTAAGATTAAAGCAGACTGCATTACAGATTAGAGAGAAAAAAGCAGATAGGGCACAGTGCAATCTTTAGTTTGTTTCCACACTAGCAAGAAATTATTAATTATTCCTGATCTGTATAATCTAAAGTGTATATGATGAAATAACGAAAGAACGATGAATTTTACCATTATAAATTGAAAAAACATCTCTTTTGTTGAGGGATATAATTCTTTGATTTCTATTTATATACATGAAGTTGAAAGATCATTTTTTTGTTTCCCTCCCAGAGACATTTTGAGAAAGATCATGACAAGAGATGTATTTCTATGCTCTGAGGAACATTTTGATTAAGGTGGACATCTGAATCCGGCAATTTCTCTCATGTTTTATTCTCTTGGTAAATTGCCACTATCACATGTCTTCTACTACAGCGTTGCACAAACTCTTGGAGCTTTCATCGGTACAGCACTCGCATACACTGTTTATCTTGGTAAGGTTCCGGCATTGTTTTTGTAGAAATTTTCGGAATTTTCATCTGAATGCCATTTTCTGTTATACATTACTTGCCATTTATGTATATCAGACTGCGTGAAACATTTATGCACTCCGTCATTTTATTATGATTTCTGTCGACATTTTTTCAGTTCTACGGATATTGATATCTTTGTCCCAATAAGTTAAAAGTCAGCATTGTTTTGATGTTTATTAGCTTGTCATCACATTTATTTATTCACTAGTCTATTTGTATTACATGGTCTGTATTCATAGTTAGGCTTGTAATTCAAACATAAACATTACAACAGTTCTTTGCAGATCAAACTCATCACGTCTTGGGTGGTCTTCAAATCGCATCAGGACCCAATGGTACAGCGACATTGTTCACCTCGATGCCAGCACTTCATGTCTCTAACACCATTGCTTTTTGGGATCAGGTAATATTCGTTTTATAGAATTTTAATTGTTGAAGTGTTTCGCTTGATCATTCCGAACTTATTTTTTTGAGGGTTTCTTGTAAATGTTCTGCAATATTTTGTTCAATTAATCAGAATGAAAAGTATATTTCTATGAAAAATTTTATCTTGTACAAATCAAGATAAATTTTTTATTTCACGTGTATCTCATTCTTTCATGCATATATCTTCTGTTGGAATTAAAAGCATGTATTACGTGTTTGATTATATACAATCTTCTATTTTTAATTTTTTCTAGTCGTAATTATTGCGGATTAAAGAAGATATATACATGAAAGGTTTTCATGAATTCAATATGTCTTAAAGAAGATATCAAATCATTTGCTAATAATTTTCTCAGTTTGTTGGGACTGGATTTTTGGCACTTTTCGTATGTGTGATCACTGACAAACGTATGGAGATTCCACCAGGAATTCATGCTCTTCTTGTTGGTTTACTTATAGCAATGATTGGTATGGCATTTGGGATGAACGTTGGTTATCCAATTAATCCTGCTCGAGATTTTGCACCACGTGTTTTTGCATTCATCATTGGTTATGGCTGGGAAGTTTTCAGGTCGCAATTTTGTGTATTCTGTAGAATTCACTTTACATATTTGTTATCAACTCCGAAAAATGCTCAGTCTGGTCATTTGAAAATTCATTATGTCAGATCAAGCAATTTAATATTTTTCAATGCCATTCAGAAATTTTTTGCTCCTTTATGACTACCCAATACCAACACAAGACTCGAAAATATAACTTGAAAAGTCAATTCATTTTTTCTATTTTACACAGAATTTATCTGTTAGTGATAAGTGAGCGAGTACCATTGCAGCTATCACAATTACTATTTTTGGATTCCGATAGTTGCACCCTTCTTCGGTACAGTAGCAGCAGCTTGGTCTTATTATATTTTTGTTGGTTTTCAAATTCCTGATCAACCTCAAAACTATATAAAAGAAGACAGAACTGACGGCGACTCAGTACCTTTGAAAATCACGTAAGTAAGATGATCTTTTTTCACTTGTATTCACAGTTTTCAAAGTTTACATTTATTTTTGATCCTCCTTTCATTAGCACCAATATTTGGAATTCTAGAGAAGAGTTCTACGAGTAAAAACAATGGAATTTGATTGATTAATTCTAGGGCAGATCATTGGCAATCATCCATAATTTTTCTGCCATCCAGTTTTTTAATCAGTATTTGCAGAGATCTTGCTTGAAATTATGGAATTGCTAATAAACAAAGAAAATTCAGTCAGCAGCATTTATTCAGCCCATTTTTGCAAACTACAGCATGAAAAAACAAATTTTTTTGTGTGTAAAGTACACAAGTTTGTAACAACTCAATTTTCAAAATAGACGTCTTACTTTGTTGATAAATTGTGAATCATTAAGTATTCTGGTCGATTTAAACAAATGATAATTTTTGCTCGTTTACAAAAAAACAATAGTCTGCTTCTTTTGTACTTAATCAAATATTAATTAACTAAATATAGACAGCTGATGTTTATCAATGAATTTGTCAATTTCTGAATGCAGTTTAAAAGTGTAATTATGAAGTACCTTTTTCTCCGTCTCATTTTCAGTATTAAATTAGATGCTATACTGATTTATTTTTTAATCTTTGTATAATAATTAATTGCTCAAGATTTTTTGTTATATTGCTCGAAGTTCGATAATGAAAATATATGCAATGCTAATCTTTGGGTAGCTGAAAAAAATATATGTCTCGCAGATATATGAATTATGTTTGCGACAGTTTACTGTAGATAACATTAAAAACTTTTGGAACAAAAATTTTCAAGCTTAGAGTGCTTGAATGATGAATGATATAGCTGGACTTCATGATAATTAAAAGAACCAGTCATTTGCTTCCATTTGATAATATTTCGGAACCTTGCAAAAATTTCGAATTGCCTTTCAGTTCATCATAACTAAAAAAAATGAACAAGGTGAGTTTTCCGTCATTAGTATGTCAAGAATAGACCGGAGTTAATTCTTATTCAAATCACTTTTGCTAGTGGTTGGCTTGGAAGATTTTGAATAGACTTGTGCCAAACAATCAAAGGTTAATATTATTTGGAATGTTGAGCCATCTCTACATATGCACTGTCATACCACACCTTACTGCAATTAATTGTGGTTGGTTTGGCTCGAACTTTGCTTTGCATTACAATTCACAAGTACTTTTCGGTTCAATTTTGGTAGACAAAAATGAAATTTGTACAAAATCTGATTCTATAGAATGAACTAGGTAATCTTGCCTAACTATTTCAATGTTTTTAATTAACAAGGAAGAATTGCTGTTTAGTGTTAAAATGACATGTAACCGTCACAGTAACAATGGTAATTAATTACTTTCATTTCAGTAGTGTTGTAATTGAATCTTGGCTAATTTCTTACTATAGAGTTGATTAGCGAGTAGCTAAGCTTGGATTTAACATGTTAGCAGTCATAACTACACAAAATGTTTTCATGCATTTCCTGTAAATAATGAGCGTTGCTTGGAAATGGTAGTTCGAGACAAATTTTCATGAGGCAAGACAATGCACGCTATCTAAATTATTAAAAGTGAGATGGTTGAACGATGCAATTGCTTCGTTTGTACTTGTTCGAATGTATTACTTCTTTGCTTTTATCTAAATAAATATTTTAAAATGACAAACAATATCCTTAATGATATTAAAGACTGACGGAAATTTCTGAAAATTAACCGATTATATTATCAATAGTCATCCATGATAGATTTAATGATTATTAAATGCCGCAGGTGACCAGTTTCAACTGAGTTTGATAATTGCTAATAACCCAATTAACAGTAGCGGTAAAATTTGACCTCAGTTTTTTCATCTGATCTAGCTGTGATGGAGAAAATGGTTATTACAAATCAGTCTGATAGATGTTTGTTCCATTTTCCCATTATTTGTTATGTTATACTATTCACTCTATTTAGTTTGGCTCTAAATATTTTCTTCATATATAACTAGGCGAATGCTTTTGGAAATTTACATTGTGCATTAAATTATCTGTATTCGTCTTCAATTTTCAGTTCAAAGGTAACTTTCACTGCTGAATACTTATTAATACACAAATTTTGGTGGAAGTTTAAGATAAAATAGCTGCATTACTATCATAGAAAATGAAACGAATGAAAAATACGAACGCAGCGTTCAAACAATGTGAAAAAGTTAATCTCATTAAAGTTGCTCAACTCCCACTAATGGTTTTTTCTTTTTTTCTCTCAGAAAGGGTTCTGATTACTCTTGGATGGAAAATGCTTATAAAGATGCAAACATCGGCAATGTTTGTAAGCACTTCGAAGAGTTCGGTAGAGAGAAGAAATTGAAATTGCTGTTGATTGATTGCATTTCAGCCCCATAGTATAACTGAGAACAGTTCTCTTTCGTTTCAATTCTCTCATTCTCATCACGCAAACAAACGAGTCTCTGAGAGACAGAAATAGCAGTGCAATTTGTCTCACAATATAATGATGCTGAAATGGCAAGTATTAGGAGATGATGATAAAATCGTAATTTCGATTAGTAATATTGGTCAAAAACAGTTTTCAACACAAACGAGATAGGCGAGGGTTGCTCTGTGAAAGCTCTAGGAATCGAAGTGATCTTATTGCAGATGATGCGTATGACACTGCTATTTTTATCGAGAGCGTAAAACGCTTCTCGCAAAATTATCATTTTATCTCGCAACGAGATGCTTCAAATTCTTTTGATATGCCTTTGTTTTTACTGTTCATTTTTTCATATTCTTGAAAGTCAAAATTTGTGACTGTGAATGCGACAGTGAGATAAGTTTCAAATTTTTCTAATTATTATTCGATCCTCATTATACTTTCTTTTGGGAGCACGGTGCCATTTTAGCAGTTTTCAGAATTAATACTCAATCTTAGGTAGGACTTGTAAATGTAATTTAATTGCAACAATGTTTTCATTTCTTCGAGTGCAACTACTTTCTTATGGGAAATTACTAAATTTCTATGCGAATTATAATTATGACTTATTCTCAGTATTCGCATTTATACGTCAGATTTTTCATTTCAAATTAGCATATTTTAAATTATTCTTAGTATTTATTTTTTCAGTTGAGAATGCATTATTTTGAACCTTTGAAAAGGCATATACGTATTGAAAATGCATTGGCGCGTAATTTGTTAGCGGAATTTTACGGCACTGCTCTGCTACGAGTTTGTACTTTTTATCTTGGTTAATTTTAAATAAATTATTACTATTTACTTGGATTGCTGAAAATTAAGTGCGCGTCTGATTTGTTATCAATCTTTCACTTGAATTTTTCGAAATTTTATTAAATTAATATAGATTCATTTTTGGTGATATAACTGTTCTAATTGATTTAGATTTGAATAAATCTAAGTCCATAGTACTTGTTCTTTTAGCAGTTATGTTTTTGTTTTTGTTGTTAAGCAGTGCTTCTGCACTAACTGTATTTTTCATGGCAGAAAGTTATTTCATTTCATTCTGACGTAATTTTGAACTCCAGTTTCGATTTTTTAAGTGCATTGTTTCATATTTCTACATTTGGTGGAAGGAAAATTTATTAAATATTAATAAATTGCATTGTTTTTGTTCATCGGTACTGGTGTGATGGCTCAGTTTGTACTCAGTCGTGGAACAGCAAATACTGTTATTCAAATGAATATAGGTTGGGGGATGGCGATTGCTTTATCAGTTTACGTGGCGTGGGAAAGTTCAGGTAAATACATTTAAATTTTTTTCAGTTTTCATTTATTGATTCTTGTTTATATCAAAGTTGTCCAGTTTGTATGTATGACTCTGTTATATTCATGTAAAAAATATTGAGTTTTTATGTGATCAGAGTTATAAGCATTCAGAAATTCCTCGCTCATTACAACTGTCAATTCTAACCATGAGCTTGCTAATTTTCAATCAGTTCTATAATACTGATTGATGAGTAACATATTATTTGTGCTCCCCAAACACTTCTGCTATTTAAGAAATCTCGGTAAAAATGCCGCATTTTCGGGAAAATCGCAAGTAAAACTTCAAAGATTTTTGAGATTAATTCCATATTTGTAATTATTTAACTTACTTTTGAATATGAATTTTGCAGTACAAATATTTAATTGGTCATTTAAATAAGATCAAATTCCTTGTACAATCTTTATGTAAACATTGGAAAATTTCCAGACCTGTTTTTTAGATGAGAATGAAAGTTGAAGACCTATTTGAACAGTGGTTTATTTTCTAACTGCTATGTAATATAACAAAGTGACTCTATCATTTTTTGTTAATTATCTTAACTGAATCTCCAAATTATGGGACTAAGTCATATAGCAACTATTGCAGGTGGTCATGTAAATCCTGCGGTGACAGCAGTTTTGTATATTCTTGGGAAAATATCTTTCATTCACAGTTGTTTGTATTTTGTAGCCCAAACATCAGGTGCTGCATGTGGTGCAGGAATAATGTACATCGTTTATTACGGTTGCTCCTTGTAATAGTTAATTTCATATGATTTGAAGCTCAAACTTACAATCCATTTCGTGTTTTAGAAATAAAAATTGCTGGAATGTCATGTTTTTTGAAAAATAATGTCCATTAAAGAATTAAAAAGTAATTGAGAAAAAGTAATAAATGGATAGTTTCATTTGGGTTGAATAAATTTTTTAAAGCAATTTACATTCAGATGCACTAAATGCTTTTGATGGAGGGATCAGAGCTATAAGTGGGCCTAATGCTACTGGAATTATTTTTTCATCATTTCCACAGATTTACCTTTCCAATACTAACGCATTTATTGATCAAGTTTGTAATCCTATTAATCTCCAAGTTAAATACAAAGCAATGTTTGGGTAGATTTTTGGAAACATTTCTATCAGTTCTGAACGTTGCAGCAATGACTAGTTTCTTCATCTATTTCCTGTCTAAAATTTAATTTATAGGTTGCTGGTACTAGTTTGATTGGTATTTTTGTCGCATTTTGCTGTGAACCCGCAAATAAAATACCGCGAAATTTGATGCCCGCTTTATTTGGTCTGATTGCAATGACTATTTCAATGTGTTGCGGATTAAATATGGGTTCTCCCGTTAATCCTGCTAGTGATCTGGGATCCCGGATTATGGCTTCGCTATCCGGTTATGGCTTTCAGCTATTTACGTTAGTTTATCAACCTACAATTACACCTGGAGTATTGTCATTTTAAGAATATTGGAACATTTAAATTTTGGTGATTGAATCTTTTTCATTAACTCCACTTATATCATGATAAATGAGATGAATGTCTGATAACTCACATGGTTTAGATAAATAGGTATTCAAGGTTAAGGATTGTCGAATTGCAAAACTTTTTCAGAGTTGGTCAGTATTTTTTCATCATTCCATTAATAGCGCCAATCGTTGGTGCTGTAATTGGAGCATACACGTATTTGTTATTTATTGGATTACATATTCAGAATCCGGAGGCAACAGCTGCACTTAAGAGAGAAAAAATACAAAGAAATTGCTTTGAGCATTCAGTAGAAACATATTCCTAATGGATGATTTTTACTCGTTTTTGTGATGCAATAATGTTTCAGCTTCCCTGAATTTCTCGCTTTGTCATAAAATTAAACTAATAGGAAAAAAATTAATCGCAATATTCTAAATTCATTTTGCTGTTTGAGGTGCATATAAGCATGCATTTAAACGCTTTGTTTTTTCTCTTTTGGTATCTGATTTTATAAATTTTTATTGCATAGGTTGTCAACAGAAACTTTTATTTCAAGAAAAGTCATTAGAAGGATTCACATTAAAAAAAATCTTACAGGATATTTCATAATGATAACCTATTTTATTAATGCCTAACCGGAATTTTACTTCACTTTGCTGCTATTATCTTTTATTAGTTTCATTTCCCTTTTCACTTTTATTTTCTTCAGTGTTTTAATATTTATATATTGTGTATTTCAGAAGACATTTCTACAAACAAAATTATGAAACGCAAATGTATTTTTACGAAGTTTGATTATAATAACTTTAAAAAAAATTGTAATTTGACTGGAATACTGACCAAAGAAATCATCTTCTGTGGATAGTAAGCAATCGAAAAATCACAATTAACGGAATGCATTCTAATTTTTTCATTTCTTATTAGAAAGAAGATCGTTTCACAACATTTCTTCATTTGATGATTTATCTGGTTTTATTCAAAAGAGTCAGAGTAGTAAGTAACACTGACATGGTTGGAAATTCATTGTTAATATTTTCCTTTATTACATTACAAGTTTAATTCTTTAGTTGACAAAGTTAGCATGCGTTGAATTCTAATCAACAAGTTGAAGGTAATCATTGCTTCATAATGTCCTTATTCGTAATTGTGTTTTTAAAACGTTTCTACATCTTGAGGATGCATAAAGTTTTTGATATCTATTAATAGACTCTTATGAAATTACTTTACAAAATCATTAAATACAAGTAATGCCGAAATCAACAAATAATAAATGTAAAAAAAGGTTTGATGATTATCGTTTATTTCGTGTAAAAATCTCAAAAACTGAGAAATTTTGTTATATTGCTGGGTGTCTTTAATGTGACTTGCAGTGAGATAGAAGTATTATCGAAATTCTTGATAGTATTAGAGAATAATAAGAATTTTCCCTTTGACTAGTGGGGAGTTTGGAGCATACGTATGGATAATTTAAGTCACGAGACTAGGTATAAACTGTCATTTACATACATTCTAAATAAATTACTTCGTCGGCAAGATGAAATTGCTTTCAAACACGCTAGTTTAATGAATATACATCCTTGCATAGACAACATTTTCGGGATTATTTTTCAAAACACGCGTTCTTATAGCGATCATTCACATACTCCCGAAACAAATGTGAACACTGCTTCCAATACTTCCGTAATCTAGCAAGTCATCATGTCTTCAAAAGCTGAAAAGTACGTCAATTTGCTTTATTGTGTTATTTACAGTCTGTTAAAATAAATGGCCTCATAACGTCTGAAAATATTTAAAATTTAACTGCTTTCAGTATTATGAAATGGATTACTAGTTATTAGAAAATATATAATAACACCCAAAATAATTTATAATTTTAAGAACAAATTATTGTGGAAAAATTTTTTAGGCTACTAGGAGTTCCGCTATCACAAATCTCAGTCAGTAGACACTCAACGAGTTCGGTTACCTCTGTTTTCTCAGGAGTCTCGTCTTATTCTTCTAAACTTTCCGGTAAATTTACATTGTTTTTCTTTCCAGGACTTGAAATGAGAAAATTACCTGCTCATATTTTAAGAAATCGAAATATACACAAAGTATCATACAAAACGTGCAAGAGGTTACAAGCTGTAAAAATATGTATTTTTAATTTTTGACACTGAAACATTTTTGAAAATTTTGGTTTCCACATGCCATGAAAAGATAAAAATTATAGTAGTGCAAAGCAAAAGGTTTTAAATTTGAAACTGAACTGGATTTTATTAACAGTTGGTTCGCAACATAGTGATCAGAAGGTTAATGCTATGATGAATCAACAGTACGAAGTTCTTCTCACGCCACTCTTCATATATATGCGTGTTCTTGGACTAACTAACTATACGGATAATCCCGTATTGCGTTATCCTCTTATGATTTACAACATTGTCATAATTATAATCATGGTTAATCTTCGTCCACTACTAAATTTTCTTATTTTTCTGCGACATATATTGGTTGTTATTCTAATATGTCATCTAAATTTATAATTACTGCAAAAATTGCATATTTAGTTCGCAACTGCTTTTGTATATACTAAAAAAATCTGTCAAGTGCTATAATGATACATTTTTTCAGAACAGTTACTCTCTTTTAATAGTATCTGAAATAAGATTTATTGGGCTTGACGTTGATTTTGCTTTTGCTACTATTCATGCATGTTATTTGGCAAGGTCAATTTTTATCATCGTTTAAATAATTCCTTTTGTCTATTTTCTCAATATTTTATACTTATCTCAGTTTACAATGATGCTTGCATTTTATACTAAAATTAAATGTAGTTTTTAGTGGTGGTATCTGTTCATTATTCCTTTTCTGGATGCAGCGAAGTTTCAATCGTTTAAGCAAAATTGTAATACAACAAGTAGGCGCATATGATCCGGATTTCCATCAAGCTGCACGAATCCACAAAATGTGTAAAATGATGGTTGGTCTGATAATCTTCTGGGCTATGGTGGCTGTTTTTACTACTACCAGTAACATTTTCGTTATTTTCACATAAAACTTTTATATATCTAATAACATCAATTTAAGCAGTTCTATTTCATTCCATATGCAATCATTGCTTTATAATATTATGGAACGAGTAATTCCATTATTACTGCTATTACTGATGTGTTTTTATAGTAATTCACAAGAAATTAAATAATGATGAAGAAAAGAGCTTGTCGAATATTATTCTGTTTTTGATTCACCTCTACGTAGCATTTCTGACGCAATCAGCGTTAATGAGTTGGTCAGTATTTTTCGTACTGCCTTGTAACATCCTTGCAGCGTGCGTTGATGCATTTGCTGAGGATATGCATCGCGATGGAATTGAAAAAGATGATAAGTGAGTAGCTTCAAGATTTTGAAATGATGAGATTGAACAGGTGCAAAAGTTTGACTTTGTTTAGTTTTAACTCATAGGTAAAATTAAATCCTGGGGAAGAGTATACACATGGAAAAAAACATAGGATCTGTAATAACTTTCAATTATGGCTTTTAGAGATGGAAGTTGTTTTTGTAGAACTTCAAATTAACCACATTTCACGCATGTTAGATGAATTTCGGTTTTTTTTAATCTACAGTGAGAAATTTAATTTATCTTTGCACACGGTTGATTGTTGCTTTCATTCATTTCAGATGGACCAATACTGAAGCGGTCGCTCTCGTAATGCATTACAAACATCGTTATCGTGTATGTCCTAACCATTTCTTTCATTTTTTAGGCATATCATTTCAAAATACCCGAGTGCATGATGGCATTTGGGGAATCGTAAATATCAGATTGAAACTAGCAATAAAATTTGCTGAGAAGAGATGCTGCAAAGAGTTCAGAGTGTCGCTTAATATATTGCTAATAAAACCTAAAGCGAAATAAAATGGAGAGTCCGTTATTCATTTAATGCAAAAATATAATAATTGTAAAATTTTAGGGTTTGAAAAAAGCAGCCGACGTAATAGAAGAGCAATTTAAATTTGCTATAGCTTACGTCGATGCATTATGTTTCACAGAACTGTGCTTTATTCTTTATACTTATTTGCAAGACAAAAGCAAAGATAAAACGTGGATTGATATGGCATTATGTGCTTCATATGCTGTTAATTCGGTATTTCACATGACACTGTTCACAGCACCTGCCTATCGCCTCTACGAACGAGTGAGATAGTTGTTATCATACAATAATGAAGTTTATATTTGCAATTATTCAAAAATTAACCACATTTCACGCATGTTAGATGAATTTCGGTTTTTTTTAATCTACAGTTTTTTTTTTAATCTCATGACATCTTTTTCTATTTTTTCGTAAATATTTCTGGTAAATTCATAGTGATTTCTGAGCACTCCTTTGTTGACAATAACTTTTGAGAGCTAGACATTCTTATGCACTTTCATGACATCTTTTTCTATTTTTTCACCTCATAGATGGAAGTAAAATTTGTTTTAAATTATAAAATTCAAGTATTCATAAAGTTCTTGCTAGCTACCATTTTCTTATTTTATTATTCTAACAAGTTACAAAAGTCTTTCAATAAATGATCATCATTTTTTTCAAACTGTTATCACAATAAAGATTGTTACTGGTACCAAATCTTTGCAATCGAATACTGTCATACATGAATACTTGCCAGTTCTAGAATCAAACCACAATGGCAACTGCTACAGTAATGTTTCGAAAGCTGTTAACGCGAAGTCATGATCAATTCTTAGCTGTAAGTATTACTATATTTTGCTATTTTCACATAGTTCTAATTGTCAGCTGATCTACTTACATTTGCTTTATGATTGCAATATAGCAAGCAATATAAAATTTGCAGAAATTTTCACCGGCTTCAAAATCAGATTGCTCTTCATGAGACATTTGTGATACAAATTCTAACAAACCGTTTATTTTTTTAGTGTTTGCTTTTACTATTTACACACAAATTACAAGCTGCCGAGATAAGTTTCACTGCTGGCGGATTTTTCGTGGTCACACGACAATTATTTCTGACGGTGCTCATAATCTTCAAATAAATAAGCAAATTAATTGCATCAGTTATTATTGGATGCTACTGGAATTGATAGAAAATTAGGAAATGAAGTAAAGATTTAGGGCTAGTGAAAAATTTTAGTATTTATGAATCAGTAGCTACTAATTATAACAGATTTTAAAATAGTCAAGAGCAATCAGTTCAAGTAAATACATATTTTATATATTTATCTTGTTTTTCAACAAAAATGCTATCTTTTTGCAACGGTAACTGCATTTCTGATACTTCCTCGTACATTAGAAGTTAATTGCAGTTACTTTCTCTGGTACTCACCTATGTCACCATAATGCTGCAATTTGGACAGGAGTCAAATGACTGTCTTCTAGCGAATGCAACAATTTTTAACCAAACAATTGTGATTTAAATCCATTGACTACAAGATTGATGCATTCTTCTAACATTATCGGCAAACTCTTGAATATTCTTTCTAATACATAATATAAAGTTTACTACTTTGTAAAACACTGGTTTATTGTAACAGATATGTCTACCTAGAACGACCTGATTTAGTGTATAATTATGTTTTTGTCAATTACGTACGTAGCAGTTAAAATATGAACAGATTGTTATTTTAATCTGTATCACATGAATCATCTTTGTTTTTGTACAATATTTAAACTAATTACAGTTTTCACTTATTTTTAACACGCAATCTAAAAACTTTAAATTTAGATAAACGGTAAAATAATAGTTCCCATAAAGCGAATTCCACGAAGTAATTTCCCAAGAATGATTCATTTTGAATGTTTGCATCACAAATTTATCAAAGGCATTTACAGAATTGTAAACTAACAGATTTATTAAATAGATTTCTAAGACTTATTAGCACACTCAGTCAGCCTGCTAGTTCTTAGGAAAACCTCACAAATCATAAGGTAATGAGGGTAATGTCTGGATAAAAATAACAATTTCGAGCGGTTTCACTGCTAAGTCCGGATTTGACGTATATAACAGAATTTATTGTCATCACATGGTCATATGGTAAATTTTCACGACAAATTTAGAAATTGATAAATATTTAGATTTATCCAGTACTTTTAAATTTTTTATGAAATGAAGCAAATAAATTAAAAAGCTGGCGATGTGAAGTATTTATCTTTAATTAAAATTTAAGATCAAGATTAGAAATCATATTCACTTTTCACAGTGTCTTCAAGTACAAAAGTGCAGAAAAATGTATGCATACAGAAATAATCTTGACTGCATATAAAACATAACAAAGAAAAGACATTCCGCGCAAAATTTGAATTTTTGAAGTGCAAGAAATTTTTCCAATGTATAGAGTTTCACATGCAAAAAAAATTCTGAAAGTTGAAGTAGTTATGGCGTTACAGTAAAAATCACAACTTTTCTCACCATCAAAATTCTTGATGATGAATTCGCAATTACCTAATAGTTACAACATTTTGGAAACTGAAGTCATATGCTTTTAATTTCTGTGAACGACAAATTGAACACTTTCGACAACGTAAAGGAATGAAAACAAAATTTACTAAGACTTATAAAAGTTGTTGATGCATTATAAGCGTTCTCATTTTTTTAAGTATTATCTTTTTATAGTTCAAATTTTGCTTTATTTCTTTGACGATTCATAAATATTGATAATAGTAACCATTATCATTACTAAAGCTAATACTGGATTTTGAACTTAGAAGAATGGTGAAATTTTAGTCTTACTATTTTTTCCTAGTTCTGATCGTCTTTCCAAAAGCTCCAATCAGGAGAGGGTATTTTATCACATAGTACCATGTCAAGTGCTCTACTATGTTCAAAAGCTTTCAGTGGTACTTGACGCATATTATCTCCTGCATCACAAATTATTCGTGCTAGATTCAATTTCTTGATTTCTTTAATTTGATCTGCGGTCAAAATTTTTGAATTCTCGTAATAAAATCTGCAAATGACTTATGTAAAGCCAGTGACGCTTTCAACAGAGACTTAAGTGTCAAGTAATATTCATCATCATTTAAAAGTTAAAATCTCAATTCCAAAATGACAATATACTGCTTGCCATATGTCAACTGAAATATATTCTGAATTCTGCTCAGTTGGAAAATATTAAAAATTTTGTAAAGCTAAAGTAATCTTAATTTATCAGGTAAACTAGATAGTTTTCTGACATTATTCGCCTTTTGTCTTAATAATATTCACAATTAAGAGCAAGAAACTGTGAAATAAGAAAATTAAACGAGTTATTTTTGCTCTTTTTTTCACTTAAAGTAAACGACGTATTAAAAGTAGCTAAGCTAATAAATTTACTTATACCTATCGCCGTCTCGCAGTCTTCTGAACTGTTCGGAAATAATGCATGCCAAGGTGGGTCCAACGAATGCATCTTCTAGGGGATCTTCTAATAAACCACCAACATATAAATCAATGTTTTCTAGAATTGGAAAAGCATTGATGTAGATAATACTTAAGCGGAATTTTTATACAATTTAGAGTGATTTTTTTAGTTTGAAGTTTTGATAGGGTACATTTATTATAAATCCTGGGTACTTTTGAAACTATTCTTACTTAAACAAAAGTATAAAATACAATATACAAATAAGTTATGACAATGTAAAAGTTGTTGAAGCACTACAAGCGTCATAATCATCACAAAGTTAATCTACTAAAGAAATGTTATTTTCTTTTACAGCAATATTCTTCTCAAAAATGTCATTGCAGTGAGCAAAAGTTGATTACTTACGAACATCTCCATACAAAATTTTTAGATTTGAGCGTAGAATTGGATTCCGAATAGTGTGATTGAGATCTTCAAATGTTTTTACTTCGGGCATTTTGCAAAATTTCCTCCAAGCAGTATAACCAGGAATTCCATGGTCACGTCCTCTTTGAATATTAATAGAACCAAGATCAGAATTGCCAAATATTCTTTCTGTTACTGCAGGAGTAAGCCTGTAAAATATTTTCACGATTGAATCTTATTTTGAAGTGCAATTAGCTAGAATCTAAAGTATATAAAAATTAAAAATCAAATATGGATAAGATTCTGCACAATACAAATGGATTTACATAATATATGAATTTGAAATGAAATCACAAAAGTTTGAAGTAAAGAATTCAATTTGGGAAATACATGAATAATAAGTGCAGCAATATAAAATAATTTATTGTGGTAAATTAAATAATTAGCTGGTTTGTACAGTATTTGCAACCTTTGAGGTAGCTTAGCAGGTAAGCTAATTAATCCTCGAATAATTGGGTCAGTTCCATGAGCAAGAACGTGAATACTTCTGAACATGCCATCATTAAATGGTACGCCACCAATTTGCTCGAAACTCTCATTTAGAAATGGGTAAAACTCCTAAAAGTCTTGAAAACTTTTCGTGTTCATTAATGAGTGATCACTAAACTTTTAACTAAAGATTAGTTAAAATTTCTCTCGGTAAGAATTTTATTCAATCTCTTCCTATTACCTTCTATTGAACTTCAATGAGAAACCAATATCTTTTAGTGCGTCAAAGCTTCTAACCTGTATCATTCCATGCCCAAAACGAAATGCGCATCCTGTAAATTCATTGCTAATTGTTGCGTCAACATTTTCATCATAACTTTTGTAACTGCCAATCAGTTCAGAATATTTATTGCCAAATATGCGAGGTAAATATTCCTGTATAGTAAGCAGTAATTTAACAGATTCAAGTTGCATTTTCTTGATGAAGGTGATATCTATTTGTTAAGCTTTAGCATCTGAGTACGGGTTAATTTTCGCTGCCATATTTATTGTCATATTTATTATTATTAATTATTAGAATTGAAAATGTGATTGCAACAGTTGTATTTAAATTATTTGTCATATAAAACGTTGAGTAACAAAAATGTTATGATTATAATACTAACTGCAGATGACAACCTTGTATGTGATGTGTTGTATAATAGCACCAATAATTAGTCGTGTTTCTTGAAAAATACGGTCATGATCCCAGTTCTTATTTAACTTTTGTAATTTTAATGCTATTCTAAAATGATAAACTTCAAAAGTAATATTTTTTGATTCAAATATTATCGAAAAAATTGCATACATTCATTTTGTATTTTGTTGTCAGCAGTAACAGTAAAGTCAACCGAGCTATATCATATTTTCGCTCAAACTAATGTTTGAAATTCTATTTTGATAACGGCTTCAAAAATCTTGATTTCTGCCACATCCATCAATTACATAAGAATTCTAAAGTAATGTTTCTTTGAAATACCTGTTATGCTCTCGAACGAAGAGTACATGAAGTGCAGCCAAACCAATGAAAAGATTTACTCGATCATCTCCAGCGACGATGTTTTGATTGCCATCAATAGGAGGAAAAATTCGATTCCGAATAATATGAGTTTTCATAAATGCTCCTTGTCGAAATGTGAATTGGTCCAAATCTGATGAACCATAAATCTGAATAATTAAAAAAATAAATCCATCACTTTTTTTATTGATATAATTTAGAAATTAATACTGATAAAATGAAAAATCTCGCCATAGAAGCATCGAGATATGCGGTATTTTCGTTGAACTGCTCACGAGGTGATGAGTGTCCGGAACCACATGAAGGAGTAGAACGAGCTACAGGTAAACACTGGAATCGTCCGAAGCTGAAATTTCTCCAAAAAATTATTAAGGGCTTCTGAATAACATCTAATATATAGCAAGTTTATGTATAGTACAAATATGTAAAAGTTGAAAATTAAATACCTCACGTAATAAACAATGTGCGAATTTTGAGGGACTGTTATTCAGTGAAGTTTATCAAATTTTCAATTAACAGAGTTGTAATAATAATTTCTTTGTAAAATATAAATTACAAAGAGGGAGTACAACATTTGCTGAGCAAAATCATAAAATATAAAGCAACAAAAACCATGCCAGAAAAAGAGTCAAATAAACTTTACGAGAAATAAATTAACGTAAGGTATTTTTGCATATTGAAATGTACATAGTAGAAAATGTAACAATGAGATAAACTCCTTTTATGGGAAGTGGAAATAAGCAGAAAAGTGGAGTACGGAGAAAACCTACGTAGGATCATGTCTTGACAAAAAGACATTTGTGCACTTGAAGTTACTAGAACATGTGGCACATTCTTGATTGTTCATGGCAGTTGTTTTTGCCATATCGTGACTAATAAATTGACCCCACTGCATCAGTAAGGCATTTGAGTGGCTTGTCACCTGTAGATATAAATAGCAAACTTAAAGTTAGCTAAATGATTTTGACTGCCGAAATTTGCAGATCGTTTCAACTTTTTAAATGCTTGTAAAGCAAAAAAATGGAAAAATTATGGAGTCACGCTAGCATTTCTTCATTGGTTATCATCTGATCTCATAGCAAGATCTTATACTGATTCAGCAATATAATGTTAATTACAGTTTCATTGAGTTAATCAACTGACCTGAGTGTTTGACGTTAGCATTAAACGCGAAGTTTCTCGAGCTGTAGGCCTTGTATTTTTTATAGAAGCTAAAATAAAAGTAAATATTAATTGCTGCTCTTTTATTTTTAGAAAATCAATTTTTTGTTCATCCAAGCAAAAATTTTTGGCTTACTATTGAGATTTTGAAAGCAATTTTTAATACCCTATTCAAATCGTTTACAAACTGAAGAATTGATCATGTAACTACCCACATATTGGCGCATCAATGCCGTTATCATATTGAGGTGATTGAAGGCGAGTGTAAGGTGAAAAAGCAGCGCCATTTTGTGGTAGATGCAAATTATTACAAGATCCATCAAAAGTGCGAAACCTAAGATGATAGCATAAATTCTTTTTGCAGTCATTGTGACTTAGGCGTGACACACATCCAAACTGAGCATTATTTTTACGCACATCAATGATTGACATGGTACGACGGGTAGATGTGTCTGAAAACTTTCTTACCAATTATTTCAAAGCACAAACTTTTCAGCAATCTTTTCCTATATAAGATGTGGTAATAAAAATTTGCTTAAAATGTAAAAAACTTTACTCAAAATTGACATTCGATTGTTGAGATTTGAACTAAGCTTCAAACTTTCTACTTCTTTTTTATACTTAAGTGATTCTTAACACTGAAAACTCCATAGAAGTTCAAAAATTTTTCGGAGCAATTAACGTTTAGGGAAAATTGAAAGCAGCTAAGATGTGCAGAATTGATATGAAAACTAGCTTCATACTGAATCTCTTCTTTCTACTTGTGCACATGTTTTAGGCGGATACTTCTGTTATGAAAAAAATTTTACATTCATAAAATCGTTCTTCAACTCACGAACTGTATTCTGTAATCTATTAGAAATTTTTAAACATTTTTTAGCTGAAGTAGTAGTGGAATATTAAATTCAATTTATTCCGAAATCTTCTTGACGACCTATTTTATTATTTGCTATTTATTTAACTACATTCATTAGATATCGAAAACTGCCAAATAAAAACTATACCATTATTATTAAGGTTATTTTTGCAACCAGTCGTTCCGTACTATTGCTTCGTTTGGCTGAATATATAAATTTTGACTTTAATTAATATGAACTCTTACAAAAAATAACCCGCTACTCTGATGATGTTTAACGATTGAACAATATTTATTTATGATCTGTTTAAAAATCTACCTTCATTGGTCATGACAAAAGGGCAGTCTTCTTTGTTGTGAGATAATAAATTGAAGTCTTCGATCGAATCTGAAAAAAATGACACAAATTGGAAATATAAATTATCAGAAAACTAGCAAACAGCAATCTAAAATTTCTTAATTCATTTATTTTGAAAAATGATTAATGACTAAACACACCCATTTTCAAATGAGTACCATTGCAGATCATGCACGATCGAGCGCAATTAGTATGCATCCAAACAGCATTCGTTTCACATTCACCTGTCGATGACCAAAAGGTACAGAAGGCATGTTTATCAATGCAAGCTGCAGTACCTAAAGTAAGCAATATCATGTGGCCATATCAAATCATTTATAAATTTCCTGCTCCCAATAATAAACGTTTTGCAATTCATAAATGCATTTCGAATGGCACTTTTTATGAGATAAATAAGTAGTTAAAAATTTAGATGCAAAAATTAGAACAACAGAGACTGTGTATTTGCTGAAGACCAAATAGATGCTTTGATAAAGAATGGTTCATTATTACATTTCAGCACTTATAAATTTATGTCATTCATTTTGTTTCAGAAGAAATAATTAAACAACTTGATTGCATGTTGTAACGAGTTATCTGTTATGATTTTTCTGAATAAAAGTTGTCTGTGCAAAATTAAAAGTCTCATCTCTTGCCTGAATTAAATATCAAATCAGTTGTCTGAGAGTAAAATCAAAACAGATAACAATAATAAATAGTAAATGGTAATTCAAGCTGGGAAGCGTTGCAACGTTGTGAGGCTAAAATTTCTATAACCAATTTATTTAAAGGTAAAGAATTTTAATTCGTCTATCTATAACAAAAACGTGGAGAATTACTTGGTTTAGGTCTCAAAATCCCATTACGAATTGCAACTCTTAATTATCAACTGAAGTTGAAGCTGCTAATTTCCGCATATGGTGCTCATTTATTACGATCTATTTTTCCTTTAGGATCATTAACTGGATAATAGAAAAAATTGTATAGTGTGCAGAAGGAAGCAAAAAGAAGATTGCTCTCTCGAATTTCAGCATTTGAATAACATGTCTGGTAGTTGTAAAAAATAATTTATCATCATGAAAATGATATGTTGATAACTATTTATGCTGTAAGAAGACATAACGAAAATTTTTATTTTAAAATTCACAGCGTTTTTAGTTAATTTTATTTCATTCTTAACGAATTTCAGTGAGTTTTTATAATATAACACTCTTGTTTGTGAACTGACAATCATCCAATATTATGAATTGAAAAAAAATTGAAAGCTCTCCTATAAGATGACCTATAAAGAGCGAGGATGAATTAACAGCATGCTCTTGGTGTTCATCAAAATACAGTTAAACAGCAGAACTTTCCAAACAAATCTGTCTGTGAATAGTGAAAATAGCCACAATCTTTTTATTAGGACAAATTTCTAAAAATGTTAGAGCTTACTTTTACATTTATTGCAAGCAAGTGGACAATTTGACTCCATCCACTTCTTGTTTGCGGTGCACTCACCAATGGAAGCCCAAAATTTGCAAAATTTATGGCTGTCTCGACAGACCTTTTCTACAACTTCCAATAACTTTTTTGGATGCTTTTTTCGAGAGTTCTCGATGTGCTGTTCGAATGATTCCGTTCTTTTTACTAACTTATTAGTATTGTTTATTGTAGAATTTTCAATGTCATTATTTGTGGTTGTTGTTTCTGTAGTTAAACTTTCTGATGCGTTCACATTAGAAACTATCTTTTCCTCTTCTTTTTTCAACAAGAAAAAAATCCCACTGTCATTACTGGTGCCAAAGGTCATGCTTACTGGAAAAAATTGCATGCTTTTAACTTCTGCATTATGTGTTACAGAGCTCGCAAGTTCAGAAATTGTTGCATTTGATTTCACCATATTTACTGCCTTCAATGATGGACCTAAATTCACACTAACAAGAATTCTGTTGCAAATTTTTTAAATTTTCTACTGCAAATAGGTATATGCAGCAACTTTTTTACCATCGAGATTTTCACTAAGTAAATTTTTTGGATGCTACATGTGATTGCAAATCAATAAGCCACCAAATTGAAAAAATGAACAATATACAAACAAAATTCAGAATTTAAAGCAAAATTAAAAACTTACTGTCATTCAGAAACCTATGGTCAGTAAAAGAAATTGAGAAAACTTTTTATTAAAATTAGTGTTTTGAATTAATCTGCACGTAAATGGCTTAAAATATCTTAAACTGATAAATTTAATTGAGTTATTTTGCAAAATATATTTTGTGATAATTAAAAGTCTAAGTTTTTAAAGTCTGACGATCCGTGCACTAAAAATTTGAACAAAACTGTTACGAAATTGTTCACACGAAACCGTTTGAACGAAACTCCAACCATGCATATTCAGCTTATACATAAATTATTCAAGCGTTTAGTGAATGGAAAACTAACCTTTGGTAACTGTGACAATGGGAAACAATAATAATAATAGAAAATCAAATTTCATTTTCTGTTATTCAAGTACGATTTGTGATGTTTGAAGTGGTGAGTGGAGACAATAGAATATATTAACTGATACTGATAATGAATTATGAATTTCGGATGGTGATAGCCTCTTAGAGTAGAAGTTCTGAAAACATAAAAAAAAATGGTTCAAATTAATTGAACAAGAAATTAAGTAAAGACTTGACAGGCTTGAATGAAAAGTAAACAAGAAAGTGGAAGAATGAAAATGAGAGAAAGGAGAAAAAGATGAATTTTAGAAAATGGAAATGAATCAGGTCGCATAAAATGTCGTAAGAAATGAAATATAGGTGATTATCAGGTAAAAATCAAATCAAATCAGGCAGATAGAGAAGCAGATAGAAACCAAGTGTGGAGTAAATCCTCAAAATATAATAATAGTTCTGAATAATCTCTTATTACTCTTTTCATGTCTTTTTCCAGCAATGACGAGATCGCTTTAAACGCTATGTTACTGTTACTTAGATCATATACGTAACAGGCCCCTCTCTACACTTTTAGTTATATCATTTAAAATACCATAAGATGGTTTTGTTTTGCGATCACTTGACCGCGAAAAAAAGAATACATAAAAAATGTTGATAGAAATGCGAATGAAATTTTATCGTTAACCGGAAAGGAACAAAGATAGTTGACACACTATAAATAAATAACGATCCAGCATGAATATAAATATATATACATATAGATATTTATTTCCACTAGATTCTTGTTATTGTTATTTTTTTATATATATAAGAACTAATTTTTGACTCTTCTATGAATATATATATTATTCATCTCAGATTCAAGAAATTTTTAGTGCTAATACTATCACTATCATTATTATTATTGATATTATTATTAGCACTATCATTATTATTATTGACCATTAATACCCAAATAATAAAAAACCTTGTATCCGATAGCATCAAGTAAAACTGAATAACACCAATTCATAAACTACACAGATTTCATATGAACAGCTTAAATGGCTGCTTCAACAAGTGTTTTTAACAGTTCGAACACAGCACTCACTCATCTCAGTTCACTACTGTTACCATGGTAGCTCAAAGGAACTTATACAAAGATTGGAAGCCAACATTACATTACAAACCTATTTCAATTTGTTTATTATAGATTTCGGGTAAGATGCTTAATACTTGCTCAGCATGAGTGGAATGCATGCAAGCGTATCTGTATAATTTTATTCTAATGCTGCGCTCTCATTTTTTATTATTATAACTTTCTATTATTTCTACAAAATTTGCTTTAAAAAGCAGAAAATGAGAGACTTAAGAATCAGAAAAACAAGTAACACCGATCTTCATTTCAAAAAGTCAGATAGAACACCGATTCAGTACGAATTGAAATTGACTATCTTTCGAATCATAATTCTCATGCCCATTTTTTGAATATCTGAATATGGTTATCTTTCAAATCCTTCTTTCGAAAAATTCACTTGCTTTCTTACGATTACGACGGAAAGCAAGAGATTACAGAGACATCGTTAATCGTTTAATTACTCTTTACAATTTTGCCATTCAAGATTTATGCTAAATTATTCCAACCATTCAAGAAATGAATTCGCATTTATCACTTTTCTGTACCTCCAAATAATTGAATGACAAATAAAAGGTTCACTACGGCAAGCAATAAATGAAACCCTATTCAATAATATTCATACCTTTCTCTCTCTACATCACTAGCGAAGTCATTTGTAAACCAGAGAATTACTTTGAATTTGATTCATTGAGGGACAAAAAAATGGAATCCTTCGTTACATTGCAACCACGTATATCCTGCTAATTAGATAATGGAGTTACGCTTTAAGCATAGCTGGACATCAATGTACCCACACAAAATGCTTTTAACAGCTAAATGTTAACATATTGTAAAGCATCTCCTTCTAGGATTATCTTTGAAACGGTTCTTATGTTGTTGCTGCAGAGGAAATTTCCTTTCGAATTGAACTATCCTAACATGAGATGAAAAACTGTTTGAGTTACAGGAAGCGGTAATAAAAACGACTGGAATACTTGAACTAGTTTTAGCACAACGATGATAACAAAACTGTATACCTTAAAATCTTCAGAAATGAGCAGAGGGCATTTTTCATCTTAATGAATAATGATGCCTAATAAAGTACAAATAAAAACTTCAGAAACAGTCAAAAAATTTTAGAGTTGTAACATAAGCTAACGAAAGTTTCGTATACTGGAGTGAAAAATTATAGGTAAGCAAAACTAACAACCAGCATAATTTAAGAATTAAGATACGCAACCACCTCACTAAAAGAATGAATTAGTAAGATTGAAAATCATGAATCTAAAAAATTATGATAACATGCAATGCCGGAATGAATAATTTTTATATTATATCAATATGATGTTTCCTGCATTTGTGGATGCGTTAAAAGCTGGTAAAACTATGTTAGACGGATCTTGCAGAAGTGACAAAAGTTCTATATAAACGTTTCGGTCATTTAAACTTTCAGTATCCACTTCATGCATGTTTATGTATACAAATATGGATATATATTTCACATTTTTTAGTAACTTGTCTTTCCCACGTAAAAATATATTCCTTATTTGAAGAATCTGTAATTTCGAAGTGCCAAAACCAGTTGAAAACAAAAAACCACTGCAAAAATGTATCGCGCCTCAGCTTTTTTTAACATACCGGCGTAACCACGGATGTCGCATTACCTCTTCTAGAGAAATCCGATCACTTGGAGCCCTTACCAATAACTAAAAAATTGCCGTTTAAGTTATAAACAATCAGTAAAATAAAGACTGGTAAACTTTCATAATAATAATAATAATAATAATAATGAAACTGATATAAAATTTCAAGTAATTCATGTACTACAGAAACAAACTTTTCTTATCAAATCTTTAGCTTCTTCTGAAATGTGAGACGGAAATTTATATTTCACACTCATAATCAACTTATAGGTCTCATTATGGGTTGGACTTTCAAATGGCGGCTTTCCAGTAAGTAACTCATAGCAAAGGACACCTAAGGACCATAGATCAACCTGAAAACGGGAAATAACAAGAATATACTAGTCAAAAACATATAAACACTAGATAGCCATACAGTTACCGAATAAGTAATGAAATTTTAATTTATATGTAAACTGACGGAACATTTGATACAAACACAGGAAAAATATGAGTATCAACATACACTAATTCAAAGGTTATTCCCAGTTTACAAAGAAAACTTGAGAAGCAAAAAAATATAGGCGCTAAAATTTAGATTTTATGAACAGCGTTGTAAAAAAGTAAAAAACAATAACAACGAAATGAACTTATATTCCAATTTTATCTTACTTTTTCGTCATGCTGCTCTCCACTGACCATTTCCGGGGGCAAATAATCGAGCGTGCCACACATTGTTTCTCGCCTTAATTCACAGTAATTTAAAATCAAAACTCTGGCTCATAATTTACTGCTCATTCAACATAACATGTTAAAGGTTAAATCTAAATAATACTTTTAGATTTAACCTAGAGCGAGCGTGGACACTCCACCCGAAGTCGGCAATTTTTAATTCTCCAACACTGCCAAGAAGAAGATTTTCAGGTTTGATATCCCGATGTATAACATTTTTATTGTGGCAATAAGATAGTGCATCTGCCATTTGAAATATTAACTAAACAAAAATATTACTTATGAGCACAGGGAATCATACTTCAGCGGTGATTACAGATATTAAGAAAGCAAGATTAAAAGTGTCATGCACCAATTTTAAGTAAATTTCATTGCTTTCGTAAGTTTAATTTACAAGAAAGTTTTCTTTATAATAAAACATTAGTATCAGACACATGCAAAGCTTGTTGAAATAACTAAAATAATCTTATTAACCAAATTCTTGCACTGAACAAATGCATTGAAGTGTTAACACAGTATCTACTGGGCAATTATAAATGCCATATTGCTCAAAATTACTTTTAGTAGAAGTAGTGTTTTATATTTATATAACACATCTGTTATAAGACATGTAACTGTACTACAATAATAATTCTATTTTTAAAAATCATTCAAAATTTAAATCTTACTTTAGCTGTACGTTCTTCACTGAAATGACGCGATCTTTGTAGTTCTTTGTATAACTCACCACCTTCCGCATATTCCAGAATTAAGAAGATACGTTTCTTGTCACAGAAGTAATTGTACATACGGAGAATGTGAGGATGTCGTAAATGGGCTTGAATTTCAATTTCACGCAGCAACTGACGCTGCATATTGTTCCGCAAAAGTTGTGATTTGAATATAATCTTTAAAAAATCATGTTTAAAAATGGAAAAACGCACTGCTCAAACCTTTCAAAATAGTGAAAGATATTACTTACTAAAGTTAAACCATTCTTTCTTTCTATGTTCCTTCAACCGATAATGAGTATTATTTTGGACTAGTACATTAATATGAGAGCAGAAAGATTGATAGGACTAGAAAAAAAAATACTTTTAGAGCGACAATAAAATTGCTTCCCTTCAAGCGAGCTAAATAAACGTTGCCAAACTTGCCCTTTCCTAATGGTCGACCGATTTCAAAGTCATTCAGTCGGAATTTTCTGCTGCAATTATTGATAACGAAAGGTAATCGAATTATTAAAGTTCAAGGATGTAACATAATAGACGACAAAATTATCTTCAAAGAGTGATTCCTTAATTGAAATTTCACGGAATAAAACATCCAAGAACTTACCACTGTTCCAAGTTTTCATTGCATGTGACATTTTGAAATGGCAAATTGACTTCTTGGTGTGAAATAGCAAGCGACATACCTCCTAGATACACAATTTTCTAATAGATAATTTATCAAATTTTCACAATTTCAAAATAATTGTTTTGAAAAGGAAACACAAAAATAAAGAAGTGAAATTATAAGCCGTGAGAGGATATTGCTATCTTTTTCAGATGAAAGTCAGCACCAAACTGCTCAGTTTTGGATTATAGTTATCGTCATACGTCACGTGAGTTTACACTATATTTAATTAAGCGAACAATGGTTTATTCAAGGAGGCATGTATTATTACTACAATCGCATGATCTAAACGATTTACAGAACAGAACAGAACTTTGCCCTCGACATCAACTGAATGCTGTACAAACATTGCCAGCAAGATTTTTAAATTTATTTGTCCGCCAATTTTTTGAAAAAACGCGGCTAGAATCACTGTGAAATTTGTCGTCTTATACAGAACAATTTTGCACTAAAATGGCAGAAATCAAACACAACCAATCCTAGCTTGGATCGCTAATTACCTGACTGATTTTCCTTCATTACTAGCACTTTCTATTAATTTTGTAGATAATTTTTCTTTTTTTTGCCGTTTGAGCTTGGTGAAATTCCAGTTCTTCAAACGCTTAAATTTGCAATTATGTAGATATGTTATCGTTGACATAATTAAAGTAATAACGATGAAATTAGATGAAAATAAAATTTCAACTGCTAGCAGAAATTAACAACGCCAACTGTGAATTCTCGCAAGCTAGGCTAGCTGAATCTAAAAAAGATGCAAAAATAATGACGGACTTCTTTCGAGCAAAATACCCTGAAATTTACAAACTGCAAAAATACTTTGGAAAAAGTGATGTAACTATAACCAAGAATATTTGTCAGCAGGTAATGCAAAATTTTTGCAGCATTATAAATACAAAAATAGGTTTGCTTCTAATACCATCACAAAATTGAACAGCAGTGATCAGTTGATAAACCTTTATAAAAAAATAAATTCAGGAATTAGAACTGAAATCTCGATTTACCGCAACGCAATTTGGATCATCATTGAAACCATTCTCAAATTACTATTAGAATGGATTTGGTTGATAGCCATGTCTTAACAACTGCCATACGATTGTCCATATCAACTTTCTTGTTTTTCTTCGATTTTTCACCTATGACCTCGCAAAAAAACTAGCTGCACTTTTAACACAGAAATTACTCGATATAATACTGCTATTTCTGGATATAGAAAGTTGATATGGACAATCGTATGGCAGTTGTTAAGACATGGCTATCAACCAAATCCATTCTAATAGTAATCTGAAAATGGTTTATATATATATATATATATTAAAAAAATGTGGAGGATAGTTTTCGTTTTCGCTTGATTGTTTCTGGCGCTGGATCGCATTCCGGCATTCTAGCAATACTTGTCTCGCACTCAGATTTGTTCTACTCATTGTTCCTCACACGTAGGATCGTCCTCACGTAGGATTTTCTGTGAGGTTGTGCTTAGTCTTTAGATACGGTACAATT